GCGGTCCAAGGTGGTAGATGATACAGTTTCATCCCACCCTGTCCCTTCTATCCATATATTTTGCATTAAAATTTTCGCGGTAATTACAAATGGTGGGAGCCACCCTAAGGGATCAAATAATTTGGCAATGGCTGATAGAATTGCCCTTTTGGTATAGCTAGTCTGGTTTTCAATTGGTTTGGCTGTAAAGTAAAAATTATCGGTATGGGCGTTCCATCTGATTCCCAGAGCTTTGACCGTGCTGGTGGCTTCGAAGTCTTAGAAGTCTTCTTTAAGCAGATGGGATTTCGGTGTACCATGTAAGATTTCGTTGCAATTAGAAGTCCATTTCCTTAAGGGAAAACCAGCAGACTGCAATACTCCCGTGATGTCGTCCTTCGCTTTGATGGCAGATTCGATGGTGTGACCGCCAGCTAAAACATCGTCGACATACATATACTTTCTTAGGATGTCCGACGCAATAGGGTGCGAGTTTTGTACATCGTCAGCTAATTGAAGCAGGGTTCTAATCGCGAGGTAGGGTGCGCAGTTGACCCCGAAAGTCACAGTTTTAAGCTCATAAAGACTAATTGGTTCGGTTGGACTTGTTCGGAAAAATATTCCCTGATACTTGGTATCGTCAGGATTTAGTAATATTTGGCGATACATCTTTTCGATGTCGCTATTAAAAACATATTGAAAAAATCTCCACCGTAATATTAGAATTGTCAAGTCATTCTGGAGGACTGGTCCAGGATGGATCACATCATTAAGACTCACCCCATTAGCTGTAGGACATGACGCGTTGAAGACCATCCGTACTTTGGTGGTGGTGCTCTCTTCCTTCCGAACGGCATGATGTGGCAGAAAGTAATTTTCGCATTCATCACCCGGAATATGGTCAGAAATTCGCGTCATATGTCCTAAAGTTTCATACTCGGACAATACTCTATTGTATTCAGTTTGTAGGGGAGGGTCCTTTGCTAGACGGATTTCATTACGAAAAAATTGTGAGCAAGCTATCTTGAGTGAAGGTCCTAAGCGTGTGCACCTTGGGAAATCCTGTTTGAATGGCAACGATACTGTATATTTGCCATCCTGGTTCCGTTTAGTTGTACGTTTATAAAGGTCCTCGCAGTAAACTTCCTCTTTATTGTAGGTTTTGTTCTTTGAAATATCTTCTAACTCCCAAAACGAGGCTAGACGCTTGTCTAAGGTAACCTCATTAAAAAACGATACACGTTTATTAGTGATTGAAATTGCTTCCGTCTGACCGGTTAGTATCCATCCGAATACTGTTTCCTGAGCAAGAAGAGTACCTAAAACGTTCTTCCTAATACCGCTCAACATTATTTGGGCATAAACGTCGCCACCTAGGACAAGATCAACTTGTTCATTAATGAAAAATCTCTTATCCGCTAAAATGAGGTCGGGAAATGCTTGTTTCGTCATAGCATCTATCTGACAGGTCGGTAGATTACCGGTCAGCTGTGGTAAAAGGCACCCTGAAATTGTGCATATGGAAACTGTGCATACGAAATAATGCATATGAAAAAAACCGAAATAATGCATACGAAAAAAACCGAAATAATGCATATATGCACAGTTTCGATATGCATATGAAAAACCGAAATAATGCATATATGCACAGTTTCGGTTAAAAACCGCAATAATGCATATTAGAAAAACCGAAATTATGCATATGCACTCTTTCGTTTGAAAACCGAAATAATGCATATGAAAAAACCGAAATAATGCATATATGCACAGTTTCGGTTGAAAACCGAAATAATGCATATGAAAAACCCGAAATAATGCATACATGCACACTTTCGTTTGAAAACCGAAATAACGCATATGAGAAAAACGAAGTAATGCATACATGCACAGTTTCGGTTCAAAACCGAAATAATGCATATGACAAAAACCGAAGTAATGCATACATGCACAGTTTCGACTCAAAACCGAAGTAATGCATATGACAAAAACCGAAATAGTGCATACATGAAAACGAACTTCTTTCTGAGTAGGCGGCCTTCGGCCGCGCTTAGGGATTATAACCCTTACTAAGTAGAATTCTCCTTTCTGTGTTGCCGGAAAAGAAGGGCGGAAGTATTTTTGCGCAGAACTTCTCTCTGCGTAGGCGCTTAGGGATTATAACCCTTACTAAGTAGAATTCTCCTTTCTGTGTTGCCGGAAAAGGGGACCGGAAGTATTTTTGCGCAGAACTTCTTTCTGCGTAGGCGGCCTTCGGCCGCGCTTAGGGATTATAAACCTTACTAAGTAGAATTCTCCTTTCTGTGTTGCCGCAAAAGGGGACCGGAAGTATTTTTGCGCAGAACTTCTTTCTGCGTTGGCGGCCTTCGGCCGCACTTAGGGATTATAACCCTTACTAAGTAGAATTCTCCTTTCTGTGTTACCGGAAAAGGGGGCCGGAAGTATTTTTGCGCAGAACTTCTTTCTGCGTGAGCGGCCTTCGGCCGCACTTAGGGATTATAACCCTTACTAAGTAGAATTCTCCTTTCTGTGTTGTTGGAAAAGAAGGGCGGAAGTATTTTTGCGCAGAACTTCTCTCTGCGTAGGCGGCCTTCGGCCGCGCTTAGGGATTATAACCCTTACTAAGAAGAATTCTCCTTTCTGTGTTGCCGGAAAAGGAGGCCGGAAGTACTTTTGTGCAGAACTTCTTTCTGCGTAAGCGGCCTTCGGCCGCGCTTAGGGATTATAACCCTTACTAAGTAGAATTCTCCTTTCTGTATTGCCGGAAAAGAAGGGCAAACGAATTTTTGCGCAGAACTTTCCTCTGCGTAGGCGGCTTTCAGCCGCGCTTAGGGATTAAAACCTTTACTAAGTAGAAGTAAATAATTCATATTAGAAAAAACGAAATGATCCATATGCACACTTTCGTTAGAAAACCGAAATAATGCATATAACAAAAACCGAAATAATGCATGCATGCACAGTTTCGGTTGAAAACCGAAATAATACATATGAAAAACCCGAAGTAATGCACACATGCACAGTTTCGGTTGAAAACCGAAATAATGCATATGAGAAAATACCGAAATTATGCATATGCATACTTTCGTTTTAAAAGCGAAATAATGCATATGAAAAAAAACGAAGTAATGCATACATGCACAGTTTCGGTTTAAAACCGAAATAATGCATATGGTAAAAACCGAAATAAAGCATACATGCACAGTTTCGGTTGAAACCGAAATAATGTCTAAATGCACAGTTTCCATATGCGCAATTTCGGTGCCCCGTGGTAAAACCAACACTGTGGTATCTATTTTAATAAATGGGTGATCGCAATTGAATCGCACACGCTTTTCTCACCTGCGCCGACACGGTATTATTGATGCCTGATACCTGGGCCCTATTCCACAAAACAACTTATCAACTTTTCACTTTGCACTTTGCAAATTTTTCGTCAATTTGCAAAACTTTGTGTTCCTCAGAACTGTAAAATTTGATAAGTGATAAGTTGAAGTTGATAAGTGTAATTTGCAAAGTCTTTGCAATTTTTGTACTCTCTTTGCAATTTCTGTTCCACGTACGTTCTCTTATGCAAAGTGCAAAGCTAATATTGAAAAGTATAATTTGCAAAGACTTTGCAAATAAATGCGCTCTTTCGTTCCTCAAAAACTGTAAATTCTATTGTTGCAAAGCAAACTTTGATAAGTTTGTCAAAGATTTGCAAGGTAAGCGATCGCTTTACAAATTCATATTGTTATAACTAGTCAAGCTTTAAAAATGTTACGACGTGAGTTTTTGTTCGACAATAGTGAAGACGCGGTTATAACTAGAAATTATAGAGACCGAATTAATTTTTCGGGACTACAAAATTTTAATTTTAAAGAGTGCTTCCGTTTAAATCAAATCCAAGTTGATTTCCTTTTAAATAAAGTTGGAGACAAAATAGAGCACAATACACAGCGCAGTCATGCTTTGTCGGCTGAAAATCAACTGCTACTGTGCTTGCATTGGCTCGGAAATGGTTGCCAGTACCATGGAGTTGCAGCTATGCATGGTGTTGCAAAATCAACAGTTTGCAGAACCATCCATAGAGTTGTCGACATTATAATAGACGTTTTATTTCAAAACACAGTGCGATGGCCCGATGATGTCAGTGGTATTGCTGAAAAGTTTTTTATGATGGGTGGATTCCCTTGTGTGTGTGGTTGCGTGGATGGCACAATCATTAAAATTGATGCGCCTACATTACACGAGGAAGGATATGTGGACCGGAATGGAAACCACTCATTGAATGTGATGATGATATGCGGGCCAGACTACACATTTTACAGTGTAAATGCAAGTTGGCCGGGCAGCGTTCATGACTCAAGGGTGTTACGGAATTCGGCTGTAAGTCAAAGATTTGACAATGGATGGAGACCATTTCCGGATGCTGTTGTTTTGGGTGATAGTGGTTACGGGCTAAAAAACTGGTTGATACCACCATTACGCCGAAATCCCGATAACCCTGCTGAAGAGGCTTTCAATCGTTGCCACAAAAAAACACGGCGCATAATTGAAAATAGTTTTGGCATTCTTAAAGAGAGATTCCCGTGTCTAAATTATTTGCGACTGAGGCCTGAGTTTGCAGGAAAGATAGTCATTGTTTGTGCCATCTTACACAATATTGCCAGTGGCATCGGAAGGGGTAGTGAAAACATGCAACCCTTTGAAGACACTGACAATGAAATCGAGGAATTAGATGAAAGTGCTGAAGAAGAAAATGATGCCCTTAATAATTTAGATCATGCGAGTGGAATGGAAAGGGTTACTTCTCTACTGCAATACTTCTCCTAATGCCAACCATTAAAGTGAAATAAAAGTGGTCCTTTGGCTATGATCTTTTTCCACTGCAAAAGCGTTGTTTCTTTTGGGGTTTGAGATTAACAGTAACAAGTTTTATGTAACCCAATTTTCAATATAGAAAGTAAAAATATCTAATTCACTTATTTTTTATTTTTAAATAAAAAACATAAAAAATTAACAAATACTAAATGGGAAAATAAAAATAATAATACATAAAAAACTCAAAACTCCTCAATTAACAACGAACGCGAAATATCTTCCGTTGCTGCCGCTGCAATTTCGCGGGTTATGGCAGAGGGTGGAAGTTGGAGCTCCCTCTCCAATTTTAGGCATTGAAGTTTTCTGTAATAAACCTCAACCTCAAGGAGCTCCAGCCGACATTTTTTCTCTCTATCCAAAGTTTCACTTGGAAACTTGGTAGAGCTCTTCCTTTTCCTTGGGTTTGGAGGGGGATTGGCAGGTGTTTCCTCTGTCATCGACACTCTGGAATCACACTCAGCTGATGGTAGATTTTCTGAGTTTCCATAACTTTCTGGCAAATTCAATCCATCTACCACAGCTGAGTCTGATTCCAGAATATCGAGAATGGCCAAGTCAGCTTCATCCATAACGCTGTCCTTCCCCCCTCCGGATCCAGTTTTTCGGGCGTTATCCCTTTTACTCTGCAAATTAACAAAATAAAAATAAAAAGAAATAAAAATATTAGCTTATTTTCAAATATAATAATCAGAACAATATATTTCATGCCAACGAGGTGTATTTAAACTTTATTAAGCCACTGTATGTACAAGGTACATACATACATACGCGAAATGAATATTTGCCTATTCAAATACTTACGGTATATTTTTACAGTACATATAGCAAATAATTATATTGTAAATATATACCCGTTCTTCTAATCAGCAAGAGTTGTTTATTGAGCGCACTGTTAACTCACAACAACAATGTCTATGATAACGATTTGTGTTGTTGTTGTCAACAAGATGCTTGTTAGTTATTAGCATTGCACAATATAAGAATTAATAGAAATTTCAACAGTAACAAATGAGGCAAATATAAATATTTGCTATGTGTAGGCAATAAATTGTTGTACTTACCAATGTCCGGCTCTTCCAGAGCCCAAACAAACTGTCCCTCGCATAGGTCCATGTTTTTTGGGCCGACGCCAGTTGCAGGGATTGGGCTTTTTTCAAAACATCCTCCCAGGCAGCCTGTTTATCTAATTTGTTAACCTTCAAAATGAAATATAAACTTAATTATGTTTGAAATTTACAATAATTTTATAAAAAAATACTTACTTTATTGTTTTGAAAATTTGCAAATAAAATGTCTTTTTTTTCTTTTATTACATTCAAAACTGCAAGTTTTTTTTCAATTTTTATTTTGCGGCTCATTTTAAATCTTTACCTTAGTAATGCAAAGTGATTAGTGATATGACAGAAATGCAAAGTTGATTAAACGCTTTGTGGAACACTTTGCACACTCACTTTGCAAGAGAGCCCAAAGACTTTGCAGAGAGTGCAAAGTCTTTGCAAAAATATGCTCTCTTAGCAAAGCCTTTGCAAAACTAAGCTCAGCGCATAGTGAGATTTGCAAAGAATATTGTGGAACAGAAACACTTTTCACTTTGCAATAAAATACAAATCGATAAGTGCAAAGTGAAAAGTTGATAAGTTGTTTTGTGGAATAGGGCCCTGGGCTTGCATTCTTTTGGACGGAAGGTTAATTTTACGTTTAAGCCTTTCGGTTATAAACGAACATTCCGAACCGGAATCTATTAATGCGCGTGCCGAAAAAGTAGTGTTATTAAAAAATATACTGACCCGCGCGGTTCCCAATAAGATCCCTTTATTTGTATTAGCGAAACAAGATTTAACATTGCTAACCGAATTTTTATTTGCTCTTGCAGAATCGAGCTTCAATTGAGCCTGTGCGGAAGTAGACGCAACATTATCCTTGGGATCTGATTGGTTCGTTTGAACAGTTGATTTCGGTGTGGCTGCCTCGATATGTAAGAGCGTGTTGTGTCTTTGGTGGCAAGTGCTGCAATTATAAGAGCTAGTGCACCTCTACACAGTATGTCTTGAAGATAGGCAGTTAACGCAACTATTATTGTTCTTCACGAGTGTGATCCTGTCGGATGTTGAAAGCTTACGGAACTTCTGGCAGTCTTTTAATCTGTGCTCGTTAGATTGGCACAATTGGCATGTAACTTTGGATACACTTGCCTGGAAAGCTCCAAGTCTTTTTTGTGGGGCTTCAGTGGTATGTTTAGCATTCTGTGGTTTTGAAAATCTGGANTTTCTGGCAGTCTTTTAATCTGTGCTCGTTCGCTTGGCACAATTGGCATGTAACTTTGGATACACTTGCCTGGAAAGCTCCAAGCCTTTTTTGTGGGGCTTCATTGGTATGTTTAGCATTCTGTGGTTTTGAAAATCTTGGATGGGTAGTGCCCTTTATAATTGCATCCCAGTTTGATATATCAATTTGATGACTTTTTAGTGATGAGATGCAATTATTAATATCTCTCTGCAATTTTTTAATCGAGGCGCCGCACTCACTATCAACAGTATTTAAATTAAAAAGAGTCTTTAATTGTGAATTGACGAGTATGCGTTTATTCTCGTACCTATCCGTTAAATGTTTCCAAGCTGTAGAAAATCCTTCATTGGTGAGTGGGCATTTTTTAACAATATCTTTCGCCTCTCCCTCTGTTTTTTGGATCAGGTGGCATAGTTTCTCAACAGGAGTGAGGCGCTTATTCAGGATGTAGATGGCCGTGAACATGTCTCTAAATGTTGGCCAGGAAAGATAGTCGCCCTTGAATACATCTGTATCGCACGGGGGTAAGTGGATACTGTGTTCGCGGTCGGACTGATCTTCTACATCCTTTTCACTTTTAACTAATTTTGCGTGGAGATCTGCCATGTTCGACATGCAGCGCAAATAGACTGAGTACGAGCTCTTGTATTTTTTCTTCACTGAAGAAATATCTTTGGCTTCTGCCTTATCTGAAATTAAATATTCCTCATATGCTATTTTAACCTTTCGCCCCATTGCTTTAAGTTCTTCTTGCTGGATCGCGAGAGTATATTTTGTATGCTCTGTCTGGGGCACGCTATTGTAATCTGATTCAAACTCAGTTACTGCGTCCGCCAGCCGAATGTATGTATCCATGTTTGTTTAATTTATTTAAAGAGAACCCAAGACGAAATGAACCTAACTATCTTTTCGAAAGTTCCAAGCAAAGCAAAAACCATCACATTATAAGAAACTCAACACAAGAATTTAAGTTCAATTGTTCAACTCCTTTATTTTTTTTGTTAAAAAAGGATGTATGTATATGCACATCAATTCCTATATTTACAGGTAATTAACTCGCCGCCCAACTTGCACCAATGTTCAATTTGAATATATGTATATGTGAACGTAATGTGTAACTCCGATGTGCAATGATATTTGAACGAGCGGCTGGTGATTTTGTGGAAGTAGTATATCAGCGTTAAAGTGACTATAATGTGCAGACCAAAAGTGANGCGCTATGTGTATATGTGAACGTAATGTGTAACTCCGATGTGCAATGATGATTAAATGAGCGGCTGGTGATTTTGTGGAAGCCGTATATCAGCGCTAAAGTGACTATAATGTGCAGACCAAAAGTGATTGCAAAAGATGATAAACCAAGAGTGTTAAACCAAAGTGCAGTCCCGAGTGAGGTTAGATCTCCTCCCGCACTAAGTGAAGTGTTGTTAGTGTAAGTGGTTGCAGAAATTAAATATACGTGCCACCAGAAGGCTGTGAAAATTGTGAAATCCACCAAGTGTGCGAATTAATTCAATCTGTGCTTTTCAGATATGGCACACGGACTAAGAAAATTTAACTAAAATGTGTGCCGTTGTCATTTACACTAACCAAAACTTCCGTGGGCTTTCTCAGAATGGCCGCAGCGCGCACTTGTGTTTGGGTTATATGCACTATATTCATGGACTATTGAATCGCGATTCGGACTATTAATGCAACAATAGTGAACGTTGTTCCACAAAATCACTCGCAGCTATTATGTTCTTATTGCGAAATAATCTTAATTTTTTTTTTCTTCGGAGCGATATTTTCACTAAATAGGTATATGTGTTTGTGCAATGAAAAATGTCAACCACGTACCTTGTTACCTCCTTGTATTTATGCGATCGGTTAATTGTATAAGGTGCGTTCTTGTGTAGTGGATGATTGCGGCAAGTGTGCTTTTGTGCTTCGGTTGTGGGCAAGTGCGTCGGTTGTGGGCAAGTGCGTCGGTTGGTAGAGCTGTAGTGGACTGTATGCAAAGAGTTTGTCTGGTTAATTTGCTCCCGGCGGAGATGGACCATGTGCAACGCTGCAACGACTGCGTACTTGATAGCTCAATGGTTCGCAGTTTGTTGCACCGATGTCGTTTTAGAGATATGGTGAAAATAAATAAAGACGGGAATTAGTCTTCCGTATAAAATGTAATTCTTTTATTACAAAGTATGTATATATATATTTTGCTATGTATGCACAAATATCGGATTGGAAATTTGACTTTTACCTCAATCGCTTATGACGTCGGGTGATGGCTGATAGTCGTCCTCTGTTGATCTCCAGAAAAGAAGTAACCGATCTCCTTTTTACGCAATTAAGTTCAACCTCCGAGCAGCAAAACTGTTTGGAGGGGTAACTTAACGAAAGTAAATTTGGCGGGAAGTATTACTAATTGTGGGTTATTAATACATGCAAATGTATACATGCATGTGTGTATAAATGAACATTAGGGTGGTACACCCGTTGCATTATTTTGAGTTTAGGGTGGAGGCCTAAACAACTTCACAAAAACGGCAGCAGGTCCTCTATAGAAAACTATCGAGGCATAGCGAAACTCTCCGCTATCCCCAAATTATTCGAAGCTATTATTGTTAACCAGCTGACATATTCTATATCTTCTTCAATTACACAATCTCAACACGGGTTTTCTTAAGGAAAATCTACTATGACTAATTTATTTGAGTTTACAACTCATGTCTCGAACGGTTTTAGAGAAAATGCTCATACCGACGTAATATACACCGATTTCAGTAAAGCTTTTGACAAAGTATGTCACTCGTTACTCATCCGTAAACTCGACCTAATCGGCTTTCAGCCCAGTCTTCTTCAATGGATCTCATCTTACCTCTCTGATAGAACACAAAGAGTTATTGTTAATAATTGTTCTTCCAACATCATTAAAGTTTCTTCAGGAGTTCCTCAGGGAAGCCACCTTGGTCCGATTCTGTTCCTGATATTCATTAATGACATTTCTTCTATAATAAAACATTCAAAAATTTTAATGTAATCCGATGATGTGAAACTTTTTAAAACATTGTCCTCTATCGAAGAATGGTATTTGTTACAAGCGGATCTGAACAACGTGGTTAGTTGGTGTAATGCAAACTATATGCCACTAAACCTTCAAAAATGTAAAGTTATGTGTTTCTCTCGGAGGGCTGTTCAACCAGCTGTTTATTCAATATCAAATTATAATCTGGAGCAGGTATCCAATTTTGTCGATCTTGGTATCACAATGGATTCCAAACTCAATTTCAACCATCATATTAATTTTAAAGTCAATAAAGCCAAAGGCGCTTTTGCATTTGTAAGGCGATGGTCAAAAGAGTTCAAAGATCCTTATGTTACAAAAGCTCTTTTTACCAGTTTAGTTAGACCTATACTAGAATACGGATCTATTGTTTGGAATCCCCGCTACCAAGTTCATTCAGAAAGGATTGAATCAATTCAAAAACAATTCTTGCTTTTTGCATTGCGTAATTTTAACTGGGATTCAGATTACAATCTCCCCCCTTACACAAGTCGTCTAAAGCTCATAAATTTGCCTACACTCGCAAGTCGTAGAGAAATGCTGGGTATAATATTTATCGTAAAATTAATGACAGGCTTGATTAATAGCCCGGCCCTCCTGGCTGAGGTAAATTTTAATGTTCCTTCTCGAGTGTCAAGACACTTTCGACCTCTATTTTTAAAGCCATGCAAAACTAATTTTGAACTAAACGAATCATTCCGTGGTTTATGTCAAGATTTTAACTGTCATTCCAGCACGTTTGACGTATCGGACTCGATTTTTACTATAAAGAAAACTATTATTTCCACTCTCAATAATTGAAATACTATCTTTAGCATATCCAATCAGCTGATGAAATTGATTCTGT